TCTCTCTCTCTCTCTCTCTCTCTCTCTCTCTCTCTCTCTCTCTCTCTCTCCACAAATTATCCATTAGCAAATCCTGTGAGTTTGAATCTTAAACAACACCCAGACTGGCACCCAGCATCAGGCCTCTGCCACAGAGCCAGGTGCCCTCTGCCAGCTTGGTGCTCAGCAGCCTCCTAGACTCTGGGGCCTGGGACATGCAGGGCTTCTTCTAAGAGAGTGGCCCTGTTAGGTCTCCAGTCAACTCAGTATGAATCAAGCTGGTTGGAAAGAACAACTTTTTTATGGCCTTTTTGAGAGCATCTCCCTGAGGCCCCCAGCTGGCCTGGAACTCACTGTGTAGATCAGGCTGGCCTTGAACTCACAGAGATCCACCTGCCTCTGCCTCCTGAGTGCTGGGATTAAAGGCGAGGACCACCATGACCAGCTGCAAAGAACAACTCTTAACTAATACAGATGACTGAGCATGATGCTTCGTGGCTATTGGGGGCTCTATTCAGCCTTGAGCAACTCAGGTCGGGCTGGCCAGGGCCCTTTGTGAATGACAGGTTCCCATAATGGGTCCAGAGACGCTCTGGCCCTTATTTGTGTCTGTTGTCCTTGATTGCATCCTCCACCTCCCCACTGACCTGCTCAGAGGCGTTTCCTGTCTACGCACCTTCTATTTTATACAACGAGGCATGGATTATGCAAGCATTACATGAGGCATTACAATGAGGTAGGTGGCATCATCGTGTGACAAGATCCCTCTCATCTTTGCTTGGCCTTTTGCTTTTCATCTCAGGAACGGAGCCAAGCTGCCCCTCTCCTCCGAGTGTCCTGTGGTCGTCCTCTGTAGGGTCCTTCCTTGTGTATAAATGCATTTTATGCCTATAATCTCTGTTCCCCAATCACCTTCTGTTGTAGCTTGAGTGTGTAATGGTCCCAATAAGGCGCATATGTTTGAACACGTGGTCCCCAGCTGGTGGTACTGTTTGGGAAGGTTAGGGAGGAAGCACATCACTGGGAGTCAGGCTTTAGGTTTTCTATCCTGTACTGTGTTCACTCTGCTTCCTAAGTACAAATGCAACATGATCAGCTTCCTGCTCCTGTGCCACTCCGTCCCCACCATGACGGGCTCTATCCCTCTGGAATTGTTGACCAAGATAAACCCTTTCTCCTTCAGCTGGTTTTGTCAGGGTATTTTACTATGGCAACAGAAAAGGAATTAATGCCCCCCCCCCCACCGTTTGGAGTGCCCTTTTGTTGGTGAGTTCCCTAAAGCAGGGAACGTTCAGGGTCATTTCATCAGTGGCTGCTCAGGAAGATCAGCACCCCTGTGTTTCCAAGAATGGAGGCCAAAATGCAACTTGTGCTAGACAGGGACGAAAGCAACCACAGGCTGCTTGTGGACAGTGCGCTGGTACAGTCTGGAGACAGGTGGAGGTGAGCAGAATTGGCCACCCAGAGAAGAGGTCGGTGTGAGTTGTAGGTTAGGGGAGGGAGAAAGTCATGACAGCCATTAATGGAAACAGCATCTTGAAGAGCTAAAACTCTATGCTGTCCCTCCCAAACAGGAAGTGCCATGTTTAGGCCCTGCCAACCACCATTGTACCATCTATGACTCTGGCAACTCTAAGTCCCTTGCATGAGTAGAATTGTACACTATTTGTCCTTTGGAGCCTGGCATATTTCACTCTATAATGTTTTCAAAGCTACATTGGGGTGGCATGGGTTAGAACTTCCTTTTTTTAAGGCTGGGCAATATCCCATTATATGTTTATAACATATTTCATCCATGTCTATGACCATTTAAAATCTTACCCTTTGGAGGTATGGGGAGACAGCTCAGTGGTGAGGAGACCTCACTGTGCAAGTGTGAGCACCTGAGCTTGAATCTTCAGCAACTACACAAAAAGCCAGACATGGCTGTGCATGCCTATAACCGAAATATTGAGAGGTACAGATGAGTGGATACTGACAACTGACTGGTCGGTCAGTCAGCCTAGTGAAAGCAGTGAGCTCCCAATTCCTTGAGAGACCCTATCTCAAGGCAGAGAGTGAGAGAGAAAGACACTGATACCTTTCTTTAGAGTCCCTGTGCATATACACAGGCACACGTACCCACACACTCGTTTGCATCACACACAAACACACACACATACACACACACACACACATCTTATTCTTTCTATGTGTAAAGCACAGATAAGCTTATATCAGATATATAAACAAATACAAGATACATGCCATTCCTGGGGTATCAGAATCTCATTAGAGGCAATTAGAAATGTGTGAAAAAGCCAGATGTTGTGGTGCACATCTTTAATCCTAGCACTCAGGAGGCAGGTGGATCTCTGAGTTCAAGGTCGGCCTGATCTACGTAGTTAATTTCAGGCCAGCTAGGATTATATAGTGAGATCCTGTCTTAAAAAAGAAAAAAGTGTCAGGCATGGTGGCGCATGCCTTTAATCCCAGCACTTGGGAGGCAGAGACAGGCGGATCTCTGTGAGTTCAAGGCCAGCCTGGTCTACATAGTGAGCTCCAGGACAGCTGGGGCTACAGGGAGACCCTGTCTCAAAAAGACCAAAAAAAGAAAAGAAAAATGAAAAAGAAAAAAAGTGTAAAAAGGCTCCTTAGGGGACCAGAAAGACTGGTGCACTTTGAACTGAACCATTCTCTAATGGAGAGCCCTTTGCTATGCATTGGAGGGATCAGCAGCAGGCCTGGTCTCTATCTGCTGGACTCCAGTACACACACACACACACACACACACACACACACACACACAAGCTGTGACAGCCAAAATATCTCCAGGCTCTGACAAGTGTCTGGAGTATGAGAGCACCTGGCTGGGAAGCCCTGCTCTGGCTCTGCTGCTGGGAACTGCTGTCCTGTCAGAGAGCCTGAGTGATGTTACTGTCTCTAGTGTGGTAGTGGCTCTTAGAGTGGCCACCTCCTGGCAGCAATCTGGGGTCCCTGTGAGGGAGAAGACTTTGAGGTGCCTGGACCTAAGTGCATGGTGGCCTGAGACTGACACAGGACAGAAGCCTTTTCAAGTTCAACTCAAAGGACCAGGGCTTCTTGGTACATGGTGGCCAGAGGAGTGGCCAGGGATGGCCAGGGCCCTCACCGAATTCATCTTGGGTGTCAAGCTCCAGCGGCTGCAGTGAATGTCAGAAGTTTGGTGCTAGGTTCTACCGATGCCCCCGTCATACCTCCCACCCCCCTCCCCACCCTTCGGGAGCACACCCACACATGCTCCCCACTTTCATCCCTGATCATTCATTGCATTTATTAAGCACCTACTATGTGTCAAGTACAATGCCAGGTCTGAGAAATAATTGTGAGGAGGACCAGCCAGCCCTCACCTCAACCCCACCAGGAGCTCTGAGGGCTGCACCCAGCCCACAGTCGGAATCCTAGAGAAGAGACATCTACACAGAAACCTCAAGGGTGAGTCTCACCTGTTCCTGCAGCTTTCAGTGGCAGCAACAGTTGCCACACAGCCTTAGCCAGCCACTTACCAATGATAGCCCTTCTTCCCACCTCCCCACTGGATCCCCATTCACTGGAGAAGCCAGAGTCCACAGTGGCTTCTGGAGTCGTAAGCAGCCTGTCCTGGCTCTTCTCTCCTTGGAGCACTTTCCCCTTCACCACCTCATTCTAACCGTCACCTCCTCAGAGACCTTCCAGACACACCCAACATGCATTTGCCACAGGCCCTTTGCATGTGATACACATGCCACCTGAACACTCTCCTTATCTCCACGGAGACATGGCTCAAATGTCACCTTCTTGTCATTCTACCCACTGTCACAGTCTTCTCCCAGACATTTATACCCAAAGAACATGACTGTGTTTTTCTCTTTTACATTTACCATTGTCTAATATTTCCCTTTTTTCAAATATATTGCAAGTCATTTTATTTATTGTAGACTTTTCTCTCCATGAATTCATGTGATTTAAAAACAAATTGCCCAAAGTAACAGTTTCATCATGACATGTCTGCACCTACTTACGCATTTCTTTTTTACAATGTCTGTCTCTTTTACAGTGTCCATCCATCTCTTTCTACTGGAAAGAGAATTCCACAGCAGACAGGCTTTCCTGTCATGCTCAGTGCTGTGTTCCCAGTGTTTGGAAGTGCCGGGCACATATAAATGCTGGTTAAGTGGGAATTGGGTCAATGGGTCCCTCACACCCTACAGAGGCCTAGTAGTGAGTCAGTCCCACTGGGCCTAGTAGTGAGTCAATCCCACTCAAACTTTCACGGACATGCAAAGACCCTTAGCAGCTTGAGAAATGGCATATTCTGAATCTGTGGGGCTGTGGTGACTCCAGGGTGGTGCATGAATGCAATGTCTCCAATGATGATGATGATGAGTGGTGATATGGTGATGATGATGGTGATGTTGGTGATGATAACAGTGATGATATTGATGATGGTGATAATAATGGTGATGATGGTAACAGTGATGATGGTGATGGTGATAATAATGGTGATGATGATGATGATGACAGTTATGGCAATGATAGTGATAATGGTGATGGTAATGACGATGGCAACAGTGATGGTGGTGAAGACAATACCAC